TATAATGATCCTGTTGCTAGCTAGATTGTCTGTGATGGAAGTGGTTAACTTGGAAATTGTATACTTTGTATTCAGAAATTACAAATGAAATATATAGTGTATCTTCTTCAAAAGCTGTAAATACAGTGTGATCTAGATGGTATACTTTTCTTGGTTATCATAATTTTTTTTTTATTTAGTGGGAAGTATGTTTGGGATGGAATCAGTTCAAGCTATTACAATGTGTAGATTAACTACAAATATCAGTTTATCAAAATGTAAATAGATTTTATCTAGATCTTATACTGAAATAAAACGTTACTGTATTTAAGCTTTCACTTTGAGTAGATCACATAACATTTCATGATGTTTTCAGAATTGTAAATATTTTGTGCACATTTATATGTTGATGTAAGTGTTAGAAATTCACATTAATTAAATAAATTGTAAATGAACAAGCCTGTTTTAATTATCTTTTCTCCTGGCGGATTGTAACAGTAAATTCATGGAATACAACTCTAAAAAAGGGTAAATATATGAAGATGAAAGGTTAACCTCTCATTATAAGTTCCTCAAAAAAAAGAATTCAGAAGTAACAGTTGATTCAGTAGGAATTGCTGATCTACAGCACCTCATGAGGCAAAAGCAGAATTGAGGAATTTCATTACAAGTCTTCCTGGACCAATGGGCTCTCCAAGCTAATATTTTGTCTTAAGGTAGCAAGCTACCTATGGCTGATATATTGCAAAGGTCACAGATTCAGTCCATGAGTAACTCTGGCTAATCACCACAATACTGGCCGGTATTACTGTATCAAAGGTGTATGATCAACCCCATTTCAGGGATTGGGAAGTGAAAAGAATATCTTATTAACTTACTTACTTGAAGATAAACGGCAATAGCCAAATCAGCACTTCAAAAGGGATGAAATTTGAAAAATGAATTTGCAATTCATAGATAGGAATATGTAATGCATACCATGTAAAAGGAAAAGACAGGAAAATCAGATCTTTCAAATGTTTCAACGATCAGTGTGTGAGAAATTACACCTACATGAAGTCAGATGCCAGAAACTAAGACTATTTATTTAATAAAGTCATTGTTTTAGAGGTTTTGACATTGAACAAATAAGAAAGTACTATTACGTATATATCATTATCCTTGATAAAATCTAATACTAAATTGTTGATATCAATCTTATCAATCACTTTGCAGTTATTATTGCCAATACTATTACAATTTCATTTCATCTTCATTGTTCTCAAGAACGAAAGCAAGGACAATGAATGAGAAGTAAGTAATACCTTTGTAATATTCCAAGTAAATCAAAATTTCTGCTGATGTAGCTAACCTAGTCATGAATTTTCTTAGTTGTCATTAAGATTCCATACATTTAGCTTTAACATTTAAAATATTCATTTTGTACCTTGAATAACATTTGTATTGGTAGAAACGGCATACCATAGGTTCCAGGGATATTTTGACGAGGAAAATTACAATAACTGCCCAACTAGAATTCCCCAGTTTGGTCTACCAGCACATCTCTTTGGTATAAATCTAAAGTGCTAATACTTGTTATATTCATAGGAGGTAATGTACCAGTGTGGTACCATAACAAGGAGTGTTTTATAGAGCATATGCACTTAATCTTTGTTTTCTTACGATATGAATAAAATATCAACTGTGTTTGAATGTACTGAACATAAAAATTATACAAGAGATTTAAGGGAAAATTTACTAAGTTACACAGATGCTAAATGAGAACCACACATGAAAAAAGAGGGCTAAAGTATGCTCATAGATGTTATTGATTAAACATTTTTTACACAAAGATTCATCAAAAGCCAAGAACCTTTGTTCCTTAGGAGAATATAACCAGGCTATTATGCAGGGCTAATATTTTTTATATATAAAGTATGGATTCATCTCCAGTATTCTATGCTGTCATTATATATTCTTTATCTTGACTTTCATTATCTTAATTGGTTAATTTATAAAATCACATTGTTCTTGAAGTCGTTTCTGTAAAGTTAGGCTGTGGTTTAAATCCCATCCAATATTTACTAATAAAAATATGTAGTTGAAATCAGAAAGAAAACAAGCAGCAACATTCTGATTTCAATAGAAAATGTAAAAAATTATGAACACCTATTCAGTTATTAAACTTATTCCATTAGCTAGAAAGTCTTTCACGTTTACCTATATGATTCAGTCAGCAACCTATATAAATCATTATAAAATATTAAATTTAAATGCGAGACAGTTTTGTTTTTCGGAATCATGTGTGATAGGAAATCAAGTTTAATGCAGCCAAAAGACCTTTAATTACTTTCTTAATTTATATATTAGCCATAGCCAGCACAGAAGACCATAGTTTTTGTTCCATTTGACACTAGCATCAACTGGCACCATTCACCAGATCAAAGAATTCTGAACCTCTTTTTACCTTACATCACAATTAATATAACTTATTCTGTAATACTAGTTTCTAAAATTTTATTTCTCTCATTGCTTTTGTATATTTTGTGAATCATACTCATGAAAATGAAGGCAGCCTACATTTACCTATTGATTTACCTTTGGTGTCCAAAAGGATTCAGTAAATAAAGTAATGGTCAATGGTTACACTTTTATTTTTTCATCTTTTTGGTATAATAGAATGTCAAGTGATCATTTTCCTTTGTAACCTACACAACATACATATAACCACATTAACTCAAGACTTATGCATGTGCAAGAAGTACTAGCTTTCCATTCTACACCTATACTACGGAAATGTGTTAACCTAGCAAATCAGTGGCTTACACTTCTATGCATAAAACCTAATGTCAGTACTAAAAAACAATAATATAAATGTCACTGGACAGAAAAAAAAAAAAACAATAATAATAATGGGCTCTAGTTAGCACTTTGCCCAATGGAGATTTACATAGAATAAGAATACTTTATTGTGTGTGAGGGGAGGGGTGTTACACATAAACACCAAATGTCAAGATTGTTTTACAGAGAAAAATAAAAGAACATTAACACTTCTACATTATACTGAGGAGTTGACCAGATTTCAGTTCTATTTCTGAAATCACAAACTGTCCTTGTAGCTTAATAAAATAAATGAGCACATCACAAGAGCTGCTTTTTGAAAATTACCAAAATAATCAAAGTCAAAATGTACTGAGTATTCAAAAGGAGTTCAGAGATATGTGAAATACAATAGTTCTTTCTCTACCTATATTTTGGTTTACACTGTTTACACAAAATAGTGTACAAATCTATGCATTGTTTGTGAAGGAGGAAATGTATTCTTGCTTAGCACTTAATCCTACATCTTAAAACAATATTTGGTTTGTAGACTATGCTTGAATTTAACAATTATTCATCAACATTCAGCACAGGACAACTCCATAAATCTTACTGAAATACATTTATATGTCTATGTATGCACATATACCAAATATGTATAGGAGTAATTTACTCATGTTTTCCTCCTCAACTGTTGTATATTATTAAAAATATATTGGCTGTTTATTCTTTTCTATATAACTATATCACAAATATTGTTCATCTAACAATATGAAGAAGGATATTTTGTTTACATGAAGTTCATTACACTAAATAAAATTCAAGGTCTTTAAACTCTGAAGTTTGATAAAAGTTAGGAAATATCCTATTTTTGTTACAGAATGATTATCATTTGATGCATGCATGCAAAATATCTCTGACAGCCTGCCTCACATTTCATTACTCTATCACTTGAGCCACTTTTACTAATGAGCATGCAGTGATGATAACAATCAAATGTAATAAAATATAATGCAAGGATATTAACTGAGCTAAATAAACTAAATAAAAAATAAAAGCTATCCAAATACGTGACAGCATGAATTACTTTGGCATAATTGTCAAATGCGAGTCACAAAAGAAAATGCCCATGAGCTCTACCGCAAAGGCAGTCATTACTTCTGTTTGGCCAGTTTCATAATCAGAACTTTTTAATCCTTTTGTTTAAAGACTGGCTCTATCATATCTTCCAACACACAGACACTCCTTTTGCATCAGAGAGCAATAATCTTCACCAAAACACTCATTCATCTTTGCAGTGGGTATAAATCCTATATCTAATCAGGATGCTCCTGTACTGACCTTGTAAGACACATCCTGCATATGGATGCTCTAACTGTGAATAATGATGCATATGTTTATGTGCTTGTCTGTGCTTTTGCTACCATTCATATGTTTTATGGAGAAATATAACAGCCTGACATTACTTGATTTATAATTACATTAAAAAAATCAATTATTTCCTCTCCTTTTATTTTCAGATTACAAGCTCTTCCCTCATATGTATTCCAACCTCAATTCAAAATCAAATCATAAAAAAATTACACACCAGTTTACATGAAAGCTAATTGTGACATGCCTACTCTTACCAATTTTACACAGTAAGATTTTTCTTATCATAAAGAATATTATATGATAAGGATGTCTGACTAGTTCCTGTTTAATTTAAGTCTCACTGTCCTGGTTTCAGTATTCTGCACATTTTACATTCACCAAAAGTTTAAAAGAATTTTTTTTATCTGGAATAGGAACACAAAATACAAGGTAGATGTTAATTCAGATGGAAAAGTACTACATTCTAAACCAATGAAAAAAAAATTCACATGATAACTGACCAACTATATTTCTTATCTGGCTCACCATAATGTTAATCACATCAATTAACCATCTACTTCTTAAGTGAAGCTTAAATGCATCCATCACATGCAAAAGACCATCACTTTCACAATCCAGTGCTTACAAATAGGTATAAATCAATCCATGACTTTTACCTTTTGTTTGTAATATAAAAGCATCATTGTCACAAAAGGATCATGGTCTTTCAATGAAAATCAGTTACTTATACTACAGAGAATAATATGTATCATGAAATAATATACTTTCACAAAAAGAGTCTTGGGTTTATAATATAATGAACATACAATCAATGACTTGTAATACAGAGGTTTTAGAAACACTTTTGAATCTGTCTCATATTATCCTCATCTCACACATCCGTCTACATTGATGTAATTAAGATTTCAATACATTCTATCTAAAAATGAGAACCAGAAATGAGATCGAAATTTTGTATAATTTCCAACACACTAGAGGCACCATTATCAAATGACAATTTACAATTTACTATTTAAAACAAGACTAAATATTTTGAATGGGAAACATATCCATACAACTACAAAATAAAATCTCAGTCTTAAAAAAAATAAATACAGTAAACATACCAGTAGATTACAAACTGGTGGAAATTGGTCTACAAAAGTTTATATAAAAAAGTATCCGTCTTTAAAATAAATATCACAAAGCACATATGAAAAAAGGAATGCAACATTTCCAACAATAAATTGCACATATCAATACTGTACAACTCAAACTCTAAAAAGGTAAGAGTCTGATATATGATTTTCCTTTCCCAAAAGCCAAGGTCCAAATATGCATGCACAAATATATATAATTTATAGGCCTTAAACTACTGTCATTACGACCATCAAGTTTACTGGAAAAAATGCACACTTAATTGCCCTTTGCTGAAAAACTTTCAGAAATCAACAAAAGCAATATGGCACAAGCAACAACAATCATTTGTTGTTTGAGAATAATAATCAGGATCGCTAGCTGGGTGACCAAGAATTTTCAAAATTTCCATAACACTAATAAGTAAAATACAACTCTTTCTTTACATTCCTCTTAATAATATTTGTTCAGGTCATTAAATATGTTTGGACTAAGACAGGCTGCAATCTGGAGATATTCCCAGAAACACACATTGACGTTTGTTCCATAATGTAACCTCGATCAGTCCTTCTTTTCATGCTGAGGCTCTTCTGAAAAATAAAAATAATTGATTAAACATTAGCAAATTCAAAATGTAAACCTAAACCCTATACATTGATACAGACCCTAGTGTTTACATTGATACAAAATATACATTACCAAGACCTGCCCTAATTGTAAAAAATGGCCCTAAAAAAAGTAAGTCTGTCACTGTTCAAAAATTGGATTACTCCTTATAAAATGGATACTCAGAACCTTCCAAAAATATTCATGAACCCTCATATATCTCACTGATATTGAAAAAAAAAACTGGAAACAATATTTTTTACAACTGTAGCACATTTAACAGTTGTAAATACATCAAAACAAATCTTTATTACACATATTTGCTTTGCATTATAATAGACATATTTTAATTTTGGAATTTATACATAGGAAGTATTATATCTGTAGTCTTAATATTTTATTTTCTAGCTTTTCATGATACATAGCCTCTAATGCAAAGTTGTGTTTATCTCACCATAAAATCCCCTCTCACAGAATTCTTACTGTTAAACACAAAAAATGCTAAGGCAGTAAAAATATTACACACAACCAAGTACAAAAATGTTAAAACTACTGTCCTTTATATTTCTTAACTTATGCAAAGTAAGGTAAATATATCCTATAAAGAAACACTACTCTGAATAAATAAGAACCACCTCACACACTCTCTGGATACACTTTTTTCACAATATATAAATTCCATGTTATTTTGAATAGTCTTTTCAAAATACAAACTCTCTCATTAAGAGGCAGTCTTTGCAAAATGGAGAAATTCAATCTTTTCTGTAACTTACCTTCCTCCTCATCTGCATCCATAATATCAGAGCACCAGATGGAGTAGCAAATCAGAGAGAGAAAGCCAAGGGGCAGGCCAAAGAGCACGGCTGTCAGGACTGGATTACCCTGCCACATCTCTTCTAATGAAGTCCTTGCATTGTAATAGATGCGGTAGAATCTCACAGGCCATGTGTCTCCACCATAGGTCTGTATGAAATGAAATAGTCCAATTACGAATACCATTATCTAAAAACTCTAATATCAACTCCACAATAACATCACAAATAATATGGGCACCGTATAAAAAATACCACAGATTCATATCATACCGGAGCCGTCTCAGCTATGACAGAGTCGAGGAACATTTCAATGGCAGCTGGAGTTAGGTGGTGTGGAGGGTCCTCGGGTAGATGGTGATGCATGGTGGATGAGTTTACGACAAGAAGTGACGGCAACTGGAGCCTTTCCATGGCAATACTGTTTGCTAAATCTGGAGTTCCTGTCCAACCAAACTGGTAATGCCTAGAAATACAATATAAAATATCAAAAGAGAGAGAATGAACTAAGATATTACTACACTGAAATAGTCATCACTATACAAGAGCATTAACTTGCATATCTTTTTATTCAATTCCATGATATGAAAATTCTTTTTATTTTTTCATTAACTCCATTATAAAAATTATATTGTAAAAAATAACTATTACAGAAGAATGCACAATCAAATACAATCAGGATAACCTTCTCACTAACACGATACAAGTGTCTTTTGAACAGCTAAACATTTTCCGACAGAATACCATCATCTTAGTTACTTACTTGTGATACTTTTCTCGATTGTTCTTGATAACGGATTCCACCATATCCTTG